ATCATCCAATTTGTTGGACCAATCTTTTCTATCTGGGTTTACGACCTTTTCCAGGATTTTTTTTATCTCCCTATTGGACACCTCTACCTGCCCGCTGGTCTGTGGGTGGTAAGGGGTGGCAATTTTATGCTGCACTCCATATTTCTTCAGGAGCAATTGGAATTGTTTGTTCACGAAGTGTGTACCCCCGTCGCTGATAATTGCTCTAGGGGTTCCAAATCGAGTGAAAATATTCTTTTTGATGAACTTCAGCACTTTCCTGGCATCATTAGTGGGGGTAGCAACAACTTCTACCCATTTCGACACATAGTCAATTGCAACAAGTATATACTTGTTCCAAAGGACGGTGGGAAAGGCCCCATGAAATCAATGCCCCATACATCGAACAATTCAACCTCCATTATTGGAACAAGGGGCATTTCATGCTTTCTTGTAATGTTCCCTGTTCTCTGGCACCTGTCACATTTTTTAACAAAAACATTAGCATCTTTAAACAAGGAGGGCCAGTATAAACCTGACTGCAGCACTTTAGCTGCTGTTCTTGCTCCAGCAAAGTGTCCTCCATAAGGGGAATTGTGGCATTGCTACAGTATTTTCTGTTGTTCTTCTTCAGGGATACACCTACGAAGTAATTGGTCAGAACACCTTTTGTAGAGCAAAGGGTCGTCCCAGAAATACTGCTCAGCTTCATGATGGAACCTCTTTCTCCCTTGGTGATTCAAGTGGTATGGCTCGATTCCGGCAGCCAGGTAGTTTGCAATATCTGCAAACCAAGGAGCTTGTTTTTCAGCGATCATTAGAAGCTGCTCATCAGGGAATGTCTCCTTGATATGATCTCCTTCTTGTGGGCTTGCTCTCTCTAATCGAGATAGGTGGTCAGCCACCTTGTTATCACTTCCTCTCCGGTCCTTGATCTCAAGGTCAAATTCTTAGAGCAATAGTACCCATCTAATTAGTCTTGGCTTTGCATCCTTCTTAGCAAAGAGTTGCTTGATTGCTGAATGATCAGTGAAGACTGTGACTTTGGAACATATTAGATATGAACGAAACTTGTCACATGCAAATAGACCTGCCAGCATCTCCTTCTCCGTCACTGTGTAGTTGGCTTGTGCCGGAGTAAGAGTTCTACTAGCGTAGTAAACAGTTCTGAAAACTTTGTCTTTTCGCTGCCCAAGAACTACTCCCAAGCCGAAGTCGCTGGCGTCACACATTAGTTCAAAAGGAAGACTCCAATCTGGGCTTTGAATGATGGGTGCGGACACCAGCCTCGACTTGAGCTCCAGGAAGGCTGTCAAACATTTTTCATCAAAATTGAACTTTCTGTCTTGATCCAGAAGTTCACAAAGTGGTTTGGCAATTTTGGAGAAGTCTTTAATGAAACGTCTATAGAACCCAGCATGTCCCAAGAAGCTTCTGATCCCTTTTACGGTGGTAGGGGGAGGTAGCTTCTCAATTGCTTCCACCTTAGCCTTGTCCACCTCGAGGCCCTTGCTCGAGATTTTGTGTCCTAGAACAATGCCTTCTCTTACCATGAAGTGAAATTTTTCCCAATTCAGCACCAAATTGCTCTTGACACATCTTTTCAATACCTGTTCAAGGTTATTGAGGCAAGTAGGAAAAGAGCAACCAATGACAGAAAAATAATCCATGAAAATTTCTACTGCTTCCCCTACCAAATCAGTAAACAAAGCAAACATGCATCTCTGAAAAGTTGCAGGGGCTTTACATAGCCCAAAAGGCATTCTTCTTAATGCAAACGTCCCAAAGGGGCACGTAAAAGTGGTTTTGTGCTGGTCTTTGTAACGCCTGGCAACATGCAAGGATTAACGACTGTCCCCACACACTAACACGAGACTTTTCAGCGTGCTTTGTCCTCACTCGCACACTTCTCGGTAAAACTTCCCAGGAGGTCACCCATCCCAGAATTGCCCCAAGTCAAGCACGCTTAACTATGGAGTTCTTCCGATCCGGGCTACCGAAAAGTAGATGCATCTTGTTAGTATAGGTAGTACCAATTAATTCTTATAAGCCATTCCCAACTGTACCGTCCCATACCAGCACAGTCTCTGGAATCCCTCTCTTTCGGGTGTTGATTCGATTCATTCATGTACCCCCGTCCCTAGAAGCCTGCCAGGAGCCGCTCCTTGTCCATGCCCTTTCGCACCGGCGATCACTCCCCGCCCTCGTCAGCGCCCGGGATGTTACATGCCCACCAGCTTCCGTCTGGTTCGTCCTCGAACCACACCGTACTGGAAGAGAGGCCCGGCTCTGATACCACTTGTAACGCCTGGCAACATGCAAGGATTAACGACTGTCCCCACACACTAACACGAGACTTTTCAGCGTGCTTTGTCCTCACTCGCACACTTCTCGGGAAAACTTCCCAGGAGGTCACCCATCCCAGAATTGCCCCAAGTCAAGCACGCTTAACTATGGAGTTCTTCCGATCCGGGCTACCGAAAAGTAGATGCATCTTGTTAGAATAGGTAGTACCAATTAATTCTTATAAGCCATTCCCAACTGTACCGTCCCATACCAGCACAGTCTCTGGAATCCCTTTCTTTCGGGTGTTGATTCGATTCATTCATGTACCCCCGTCCCTAGAAGCCTGCCAGGAGCCGCTCCTTGTCCATGCCCTTTCGCACCGGCGATCACTCCCCGCCCTCGTCAGCGCCCGGGATGTTACTGTCTTCAGGAGCAACCGGGATTTGGTTGTATCCCGAATACCCATCTAAGAAACAAAAGAATTCTTTCCCAGCTAGATGATCCAGCATTTGGTCAATAAAAGGAAGGGGGAAATGATCCTTTCGGGTAGCATTATTTAATTTCCTGTAGTCTTGACAAATCCTCCACCCAGTTATTTTTTTGGTGGCTATTAACTCCTGTTTGTCATTTTCAACTACAGTAATGCCACCCTCTTTTGGAACGCATTGCACAGGAGCAACCCATTTACTATCTGAGATGGGATAGATTATACCTGCATCAAGCCATTTGATGACTTCTTTTCTTACCACCTCCTTCATATTGGGATTCAGCCTCCTTTGATTCTCCACAGATGAGCTGTCAGGGTCTTGGAGCAAAATCTTGTGCATGCAAATTGTTGGGCTAATTCCTTTTATGTCAGCCATGGTCCAGCCGATTGCTCCTTTGTAATCTTTGAGCTTTTGTGTGAGTTGAAGTTCCTGTTCATGGGTTAGCAAAGAAGAAATAATCACAGGGAGAGTGTTGTCTTTACCCAAATAAGTATATTTCAGGTGTTCAGGTAAGGGTTTTAACTCCAAGATAGGTGGTTGCTCTACTGAAGGCAATTTTGGTCTTTGCTCTTGCTCTTATCGATTTAAGGATTCAAAGTCCCTTTCTTTCCTTCCCTGGGGTTGGTGGAAACTGATGGATGCAAGGTATTCTTCCAGCTCCTCAAAGTCCTTAATGCCTATCTCTGGCTGCAAATGCTCCTGTTGTTCTTCTCGTATGACCGAGTCAAGGATCGAAATGCTAGAGCATTCCTCAGTGTTATCTTCATCAAACCTTATTGCTTTCATGACATTAAACTTCACTTCTTCTCCGTTTACACTCATAGAAAGTTCACCCTTTCTGACATTTATGATAGCATCACCGGTAGCCAGAAATGGTCTGCCCAAAATTATTGGAACTTCTTGATCTGCTTCAAAATCTAAGATGATGAAGTCAGCTGGTAGAATGAACTTGTCTACTTGGACAAGGACATTCTTAATTTTTCCTTCTGGCTTGGCTATAGATCGGTCTGCAAGTTGAAGAGTGACTGTGGTTGGTCTTGCTGCTCCTATGTCAAGCTGCTTGAAGATGGAAGCTGGCATTAGATTTACACTTGAGCCCAGATCATAAAGTGCCCGACCAAGATAGTTCTTCCCAACTGTACACGGGATGGTGAATATACCAGGATCCTTTAGTTTGGGAGGAATTTTAGTCAGGTACTTGCACGATTGTTGAGTGAGGGCTACGGTCTCAAACTCTTCGATCTTTCTTCTTTTTGACAAAACGTCCTCCATGAATTTTGCATATGAAGGCATTTGCTCCAGGGCTTCTACTAGAGGGATATTTATGTGAAGTTGTTTCATCAAGTCAAGAAACTGGCTAAACTGTTTATCCTCGTGTTGCTTTTTCAACCTCTGTGGAAAAGGAGGCTCGATCGGTTCACTCATCCTATTGCATGGGGGAACATAAGTTGGAACTGAAACTGGTTCACTGACTTTTGTTGCTCCAAGTTCTGCTACAGGTGTTGCGTCATCCGGTTTGATTTCAGCAGACTCATTGCTTTGGACCTTCTCTTCTGGTCCTGTCTGAGCTTCAAGGTGTGAAGGGTCAGTGGCTTCTTCAACTTCCTTTCCTATGGGCTGTTTTGCTGGTTCGCGCTTTCGAGGTCGTGCCACTAAGTCTGGGGGTGGTAAAGTCTTTCCATCTCGTTGGCTTATAGCATTACAATGCTCCTGGTTATCTTGAGACGGCTTTTCTGTGTCACTAGGGAGTGTCCCTGGTTGCCTCTGTTTGAGTGCTCCAACCAGCTGACCAATTTGGGTTTCTAGGTTTCGCATGGCTGCGCTGTTCTGATTCATGTACTCCTTGACAGAAGTCTCAAAGGATTGGGACTTCCCTTCACCCTTATCCCAGTTTTGTTGGTTCTGCCTGGGATACGGGGGTCGGTTCTGGTAGTTTCCTCCACTACCTCCAGCATTATTCTGATTCCTCCAGCCTCGGTTATTGTTCCCTTGATGGTTGTCATTGCTCCTGTTGTTGTTGTCATACCCTCCTGCATAGCACACAGCAGCTAGATTGTTACAGTCCTCATATTCATGAGGACCTCCACAAGTGGGGCAACTCTGACTTGATTGAGTCAAAAGAAGTTGCTCAGTTGTTTTTTTCTGTTCCATGGGCTTCCAGTTTTTTATAGTGTTCTGGAGCGAAGCCATTTGTGCAGAAAGAGCATCAGCTGAGCTTAGCTCAAGAACTCCTGCTTTCTTAGGAGCACTGTGTCGTGTGGAAGGCCATGAAATATGTTTTTTTGAAAGTTTTTCCAACAACTGGTAGGTCTCTGGATAAGTAAAATCCAAAAGATCTCCCCCTGCGGCTGCATCAACAGTTGCTTTCAATGGTGGGGTTAAACCATGATAAAACGTGTGAATGATGCCCCAATCAGAAACTCCATGATTCGGGCAGATTCGTATCAACTCTTTAAAGCGTTCCCACGCTTCATACAGACTTTCTCCATCATACATTTGAAAAGAAGCTATGTCAGCCTCACTTGGGCTTGTTTTGCTTGGGAAAAAAATCGGGTAACAAACTGTTCCGCCAATTGCTCCCAACTGGTGATGGAGTTTGGGGGCAATGTTCTCCTCCATTCTTTGGCTTTTCCAGCTAAGGAAAATGGAAAAAGCCGCATCCGCATGTTTTCTTCCGAAATACCATGAACTTTGAAATTGTCAACTATCTCAGTGAAATTGTCCAAATGACTGTGAGGGTCTTCCATGGGTAGTCCATGGAACTGACCAGCGTTCATAATCATTTGGAACATTGCAGGTTTTATTTCAAAGTTCGGGATATTCAGAGGAGGGGGAACATATCCTCGTTCTGGACCATTTCTGAAGGGAGCAGCCATATCATTCAATGATGGCCCTCTTCCTCCATTCGGTCCTTGTTCAGGCTCATGATTATGATTTCCATTGTTATCATTGTTTACAACCTCCTCCATTGTACTGTTTTTCAACCTTTGTGTTTTTCAACCTTTGAACTCTTCTTCTATTTCTGAAGGTTCTCTCGGGTTCTGGATCAAAAAGTACTATTTCCAGTCCAAGTTCTGTAGGTTCTGTGCTCATACAAATGGAGGAGGTTTATTAAAACAAAAAGACTGCGATTAAACAGCAAAAATGTTTCCTTAAAAACGCCCTTTCTTGCCAAATGATCCCCGGCAACGGCGCCAATTGCTTGGTCGAACCGAGAGTTGCTCGGGAATATTTCTTTCAGAGAGCAAGAGTGTAGAGTAGTAATCAGGATTGCCAACAGGAGCAATCTACTCTGACTAAGAGCAACCCTCTTCAACTATACGCAAGCGTACGTGTCAAGCAATATAGGGTATTATAGCCCCAGATTTATCGTCCTCAGGGAGCAGTTGTGAAGTAAGAAGCGCTAAAGGAAACTTAATTTGTAAAATGGAGCAATAAAAGAAATCACTATTCTCAGCTAAGCTTCACAAAGAGCAATCTCTGGGCAGCTAGTTAAACAATGTTAACCATTCTGAACCAGATGAGAGCAGTGAATGACTTAGCATGGTCATCGAATAAAATGGCATCAATTGAAGTAACTTTAAGAGCAGTCAACGAAATGAAAGTAAGATCATCAGCTAGTAAAACACAGTTCAGTTATCGTGAGGAAAAGGTTGTGATAGGAATTGAGTTAAGATTAATTTCAGAAAGAAAAAGATCAAGTAGGTGTTACGGGTTCCATGTTTTCATCCCTTTGGTTAACCCTGCCTGGTAGCATATTTTACAAGTGGATTTTGCTCCTTCCCTTGTTTTGCTATAGGTAAGCAGAGGGTAAGGCCTTACTCTCCACGTTACTCCATAGTACTTGGAGTTATATGCAAGGAAACCATGCTGCCTTCTCAAAAGAGCATGGATTCACATGGCAGTGCTCCCCATTCCAGGTGTTTATCCCTCCTTTCTTCAGGCTAAACTACCCCAGGATTTTGAGAATGCTCCACACGCCTTTGTCAGTGTTTCATCAACCGAGTGGTCCCGGGATGAGGTTGCCAGCCCAAAGGGTTTCACAAAATCAATAAATTAAACCAAAGAGCAACTCAAAATTCATTTATAAAATATGTGTTCCTTACAAAGCTATCCTAAGACAAAAGGGATTACTTCTATGGAACCCTCACCTACTTAGAGGAAGTTAGCTCCTAGTGAGCATTTTTACAAAGAAATAGGAAAACAAAGAGACAACCGGTCCTAGGATGGGTGCTGATCCTCCTCTCTATGAGGATTGCTTGTTCCTTTTATAGGGTTCTTCATTTGATCTCCATTGTTCCTTTCATCAAGGGTCGTGCTTTGTCTAAATCCTCTCCAATGGTAGCTTTGCTTCTTGCCAGCTTGGCCTTAAATGGAAGTGGTCCCCCTTGCTTTTGGCTCCCTTTGTGAGTAGGAGTATCGGATTCAGGGCAGCACCTCCACCTTCTCTGTTGTAGCTGACGTGGCGGCTCCCCATTGCTCAGCTTTTTTGCTTTCGTACTGTAGCAGAGGCAGCACCTCCACCTTCTCTGCTGTAGCTGACGTGGCGGCTCCCCATTGCTTCCTTTGACTGCTGTTGTACTATAGCAGACTTCTTTTTCCTTTCTGCGCAACACTCCTTCTTCTCTCTTCATTTTGTGGTTCCTTTTGATGGGCCTTAGGTGTCCTGAACAAAGCAAACTAACCCAATAGTCATATGTGAAAAAGATAATGTTAAATTTGCTCCAGGTCTACCTTAATTCCCACTTTCGGCATTGCTCTGGTCCACTATTCAAAACAGTTGCTCTATATGAAAAGAAGAAGGTTGAAGGGAGTGATTTATAACCAAAACATGGGTTTTGTGGAACAATTTACACTTAATGGGCCTCAACTCTTGAGGACTATCAACACCCCAAAACTAGATATTACTCGTCCCGAGTAATCCTTCACAACCAACAGTCTTCTTGTGGCAGGCTAATGCTCCTTGAGATTATCGATGAAGAGTTAATTAACTCCTTCCATTGCTTCATTAGAGCACTCATCTGACTTGTGAGTTTCACCAGCTTCATTGTGTGTGTGAACTCTTCCACTCTTTTAGTCAGTTTCCCACAGAGTTGCTTCCGGATTGAACTTTTTGGCTTGATTTCTTCTCTTACTTTCTAGCTCCCTTCTCTATTTCTTTCTTTTCAGGTCTTTTAACTGGAAGTCAATTACCCTTGTCTTTGCATAGGGCTGACCTTCAACAGCATGCTCTTTGAGCGGCTCTTGCTCTCACCTTGATGACTTGAGCTCTTTGAGCGAAATTTTTGGAGCAGAGGAGCTGACCCTTTTTTTTTTTTTTTTTTTTTTAAACCAGGGGCAGAGTAATTTACTTAAACAGCCTGAAGTTCTTTCCTTGGTAACTCAATAAGTCCACTGAATAACAGAGTGTCCGATTTTTGGAGTGCTGCTTTTTGTGCATGGTGTTGCTCCAAATCAGAGTGATGCCCTATGTTGCTTTGTTAGAAACTGTATAACTCTTTAGGGCATCTCAAGGAGCAGAATCCTGGGCAAAAAGAATCATTGAGTAGATCAGGACACTTAGGACGGTAAACTTAGCAAAAATTAAAAACTATTTTAAAAAAATAAATAAATAAATAAAACAGGGTGGCGAATCCCTGGTACACCACAGAAGTCATTTATCTAAGAGCAAAGTCAGTAACATTCCACCACAAAACTTTCAGGCATTCATTCCAACAGATTTAAACAAGTTAAAAAGGATAGGGAACGAATGAACCTGGGGTCACCATAGCGACCCTTAATGCTCTCCAGTTTCTTGTCTTGCTCCGCTAAACGGAGCATTTGTTATTGCTTCTGGAGGGAAGACATTTGGAAACGGTGGATATGGAGTTTGTCCCTTGAATTTTTCTCCCCAGTTACTGGCGAAGATTTGATCCCGAGCTCGGTAGTACAATCGGAGTTGAATTTCCTCCTCTTTGCTTTTCATCAATTCATCTTTCAAGAGCCCGATCTCCTCCTTCCAGTCTTTCCTGCTTTTCTCGTGGGCTTGCTCCATTTCTTCCATTTTCTTGTTCATCATCTCTACTGCTTTCACCAGGTCTTTTACCGTGTTTTGCAAGGTTGAGGATCCCTCTCCTTCCTCAATCCTTTTTTTCTGCGGCAGTGGTCCAGCATTTTTTATCTGGTCAAGTTCATTCTGCAGGGCCACCTTTTCTTTGTTGATGAGCAAGCTGGCTTCTTTCAGAGATTGCAGCTCCCTTCCAACTGTGTCTTCTAAGGCTTGCACTTGAGTGGCTAGAAGGTCTGCTCCGAGACCAAACATAGTTTGACATTGAGTCATGTCAGTTGTCTCGACTAGGAACTGCCTTCGTCCACCCCTTGCAGGAGCTCTCTTAAAGGGAAGTTTTTCCCTTCTTGGAGTTTTCTGAGGTTCTTCCTTCACATTCCCCGAAACTTCAGCTTCCTCTTCTTCCTCCTTTCCTTCTTTTTCTTCTTTCTCTTCTTTTTCTTCTTCCTCCTCACTTTCCAATCCTTCATTGTCTCTGATTCTTTTTATCGTGGACTGATCAATGTCCGACCCTTCTGGAATGATTTCATCCGAAATCGGGATGTTGGCCTTTAAACCAGCCCTCTTGCACATTTCAGTGACCAGACAAGGGAAAAAGAAGGGGGAGTTTCTTGGTGCATTTGCCACCAGTTGTTTGTAAACAATCCTCCCAACATCAAACTTCTTCTTAGTTAAGATGCAGAAGACCAGCACTGCTCTTTCCCAGTTCACTCTAGAGTCGTTGCTCACGGGAATCAGACGGGAGTTAATAAAATGCATCCATACCTTTGCTTCGAATTTGAGTTGCTTCCTAGGGATGGATTCCTTAGTTCCCCAGGTTGCTCCCTCTGAGCCTATTTCTTGGAGCACTTCTCCAGTTACGGCCTCATCCCCTCGGCCAGCACAGTATCTATCGAACTCATCTTGTTCGGCAGGAACTGAAGCAGTGTTGTATGCTTCGTTGATTTCTTCAGGGGAGAAGTCTACTTTCACGCCTCTGATGAGGAGTTTTGGAAGATCTTCTTTCTTCATTCCCTCCAAGAATGCAGTCACGAACTCAGTGCGAGCTCTTGAGGGAGGCTCAATGAAGAGTTCCCAATCCAGTTCTGCTATATCCTCGGTCAGCCATCGGTCGAGATCTCCGTGTTTGGAGCTACTGAGGACTATGCCCCGTTCTGGTATGACTGTACGGTCGACTGTGGTTTGCTCAGGTTTGAGCTTTTTCCCTGTTCGGGTCCTCTTCTTGGAGATAGAAGCAACAGGTATAATGGCCTTTGGACGTGTCATGGTGTAATGTTCTGAGTAGGAGGGATGGAGTGGGGAGTAAAGGTTGGATTTTTGTGGGTTGAAGGAGAAAAGATTATGAGAATGAAATAGTAGTTCTGTGTTTATAAAGGAACGAAGGGGAGGATGGGAAGGTTAAAACGCTCTGTATGGTGGTGATCGTGGCTTTGCTGAGTGGCGGATATGGGGTGGAAGAGCGTCTGCTGCACATAAATGCCTGGGGGAAAGCAACTGTCCTCTGCTCTGACGGTTTCTTCTTTTTGAAACTGCTACTCTCGCTTGATTGGAGGGATGTGACAGCACGACGTGGAGCTATTATCCTTCCGTTGCTTCCGCCACTCGGTTTTCTCTCTCTCTTTTCGCATGCAGCCCATTGCAGGCCCTTGGGTTAAAAGGGGCAAGTGGATCAGCCCAATTAGAACTTGGTTTCTCATTGAGGGATCAAATTCTAAGTGTTGGTTGCTCCTTGCTTTTGGGATCAGGTTGCTCAAGAGCAACCCCAAAACTAGCTTCCTGCAATGGTTAGCACATTAATTTTCTCAAACAAAGACAATAATAATAAAAAGAACGACGTGGAAATAAATCTGGGTTGTCTCCCAGTAGCGCTTCGTTTATAGTCTTAGCTCGACTTGTTGCTCCTTGAGTCAGACTTCAGCTGGGTCATCGAGATGAGAAGTTAGTTTCTCATGCTCCTTGATCCCTCTATTATACTTCTTGAGTCTGTGTCCATTTACCCTGAGCGTTGCTCCAGATGTTTCATGAGCAATGGCAAATGCTCCATTGGGAAGTGCTTCAATGATTGCATAAGGTCCCTCCCATCTTGATTTCAACTTTCCAGGAAACAGTTTCAATCTGGATCGATACAGCAGCACTTTGTCTCCAACTTCTAACTCTCTCTTGATAAGCTTTTTATCGTGCCACTTTTTCATCTGCTCCTTGTAGAGGTTGGCGTTTTCATATGCCTTGCTCCGGAATTCTTCCAGTTCAACCAACTGGAGCAACCTCTTTTCCCCAGCCATTCTGGAATCCATGTTTAGCAATGTGATGGCCCAGAATGCTTTGTGTTGAAGTTCCAGAGGCAAGTGACACGCTTTTCCAAACACCAACTTATAGGGGGAGCAGCCAATGGGCGTTCGATAAGCTGTTCGATACGCCCATAGGGAATCATCCAATTTGTTGGACCAATCTTTTCTATCTGGGTTTACGACCTTTTCCAGGATTTTTTTTATCTCCCTGTTGGACACCTCTACCTGCCCGCTGGTCTGTGGGTGGTAAGGGGTGGCAATTTTATGCTGCACTCCATATTTCTTCAGGAGCAATTGGAATTGTTTGTTCACGAAGTGTGTACCCCCGTCGCTGATAATTGCTCTAGGGGTTCCAAATCGAGTGAAAATATTCTTTTTGATGAACTTCAGCACTTTCCTGGCATCATTAGTGGGGGTAGCAACAGCTTCTACCCATTTCGACACATAGTCAACTGCAACAAGTATATACTTGTTTCCAAAGGAAGGTGGGAAAGGCCCCATGAAATCAATGCCCCATACATCGAACAATTCAACCTCCATTATTGGAACAAGGGGCATTTCATGCTTTCTTGTAATGTTCCCTGTTCTCTGGCACCTGTCACATTTTTTAACAAAAACATTAGCATCTTTAAACAAGGAGGGCCAGTATAAACCTGACTGCAGCACTTTAGCTGCTGTTCTTGCTCCAGCAAAGTGTCCTCCATAAGGGGAATTGTGGCATTGCTCCAGTATTTTCTGTTGTTCTCCTTCAGGGATACACCTTCGAAGTAATTGGTCAGAACACCTTTTGTAGAGCAAAGGGTCGTCCCAGAAATACTGCTTAGCTTCATGATGGAACCTCTTTCTCCCTTGGTGATTCAAGTGGTATGGCTCGATTCCGGCAGCCAGGTAGTTTGCAATATCTGCAAACCAAGGAGCTTGTTTTTCAGCGATCATTAGAAGCTGCTCATCAGGGAATGTCTCCTTGATATGATCTCCTTCTTGTGGGCTTGCTCTCTTTAATCGAGATAGGTGGTCAGCCACCTTGTTATCACTTCCTCTCCGGTCCTTGATCTCAAGGTCAAATTCTTGGAGCAATAGTACCCATCTAATTAGTCTTGGCTTTGCATCCTTCTTAGCAAAGAGTTGCTTGATTGCTGAATGATCAGTGAAGACTGTGAATTTGGAACATATTAGATATGAACGAAACTTGTCACATGCAAATACAACTGCCAGCATCTCCTTCTCCGTCACTGTGTAGTTGGCTTGTGCCGGAGTAAGAGTTCTACTAGCGTAGTAAACAGTTCTGAAGACTTTGTCTTTTCGCTGCCCAAGAACTACTCCCAAGCCGAAGTCGCTGGCGTCACACATTAGTTCAAAAGGAAGACTCCAATCTGGGCTTTGAATGATGGGTGCGGACACCAGCCTCGACTTGAGCTCCAGGAAGGCTGTCAAACATTTTTCATCAAAATTGAACTTCCTGTCTTGCTCCAGAAGTTCACAAAGTGGTTTGGCGATTTTGGAGAAGTCTTTAATGAAACGTCTGTAGAACCCAGCATGTCCCAAGAAGCTTCTGATCCCTTTTACGGTGGTAGGGGGAGGTAGCTTCTCAATTGCTTCCACCTTAGCCTTGTCCACCTCGAGGCCCTTGCTTGAGATTTTGTGTCCTAGCACAATGCCTTCTCTTACCATGAAGTGGCATTTTTCCCAATTCAGCACCAAATTGCTCTTGACACATCTTTTCAATACCTGTTCAAGGTTATTGAGGCAAGTAGGAAAAGAGCAACCAATGACAGAAAAATCATCCATGAAAATTTCTACTGCTTCTCCTACCAAATCAGTAAACAAAGCAAACATGCATCTCTGAAAAGTTGCAGGGGCATTACATAGCCCAAAAGGCATTCTTCTGAATGCAAACGTCCCAAAGGGGCACGTAAAAGTGGTTTTGTGCTGGTCTTCAGGAGCAACCGGGATTTGGTTGTATCCCGAATACCCATCTAAGAAACAAAAGAATTCTTTCCCAGCTAGATGATCCAGCATTTGGTCAATAAAAGGAAGGGGGAAATGATCCTTTCGGGTAGCATTATTTAATTTCCTGTAGTCTTGACAAATCCTCCACCCAGTTATTTTTTTGGTGGCTATTAACTCTTGTTTGTCATTTTCAACTACAGTAATGCCACCTTTTTTTGGAACGCATTGTACAGGAGCAACCCATTTACTATCTGAGATGGGATAGATTATACCTGCATCAAGCCATTTGATGATTTCTTTTCTTACCACCTCCTTCATATTGGGATTCAGCCTCCTTTGATTCTCCACAGATGAGCTGTCAGGGTCTTGGAGCAAAATCTTGTGCATGCAAATTGTTGGGCTAATTCCTTTTATGTCAGCCATGGTCCAGCCGATTGCTCCTTTGTAATCTTTGAGCTTTTGTGTGAGTTGAAGTTCCTGTTCATGGGTTAGCAAAGAAGAAATAATCACAGGGAGAGTGTTGTCTTTACCCAAATAAGTATATTTCAGGTGTTCAGGTAAGGGTTTTAACTCCAAGGTAGGTGGTTGCTCTACTGAAGGCAATTTTGGTCTTTGCTCTTGCTCTGATCGATTTAAGGATTCAAAGACCCTTTCTTTCCTTCCCTGGGGTTGGTGGAAACTGATGGATGCAAGGTATTCTTCCAGCTCCTCAAAGTCCTTAATGCCTATCTCTGGCTGCAAATGCTCCTGCTGTTCTTCTCGTATGACCGAGTCAAGGATCGAAATGCTAGAGCATTCCTCAGTGTTATCTTCATCAAACCTTATTGCTTTCATGACATTAAACTTCACTTCTTCTCCGTTTACACTCATAGAAAGTTCACCCTTTCTGACATTTATGATAGCATCACCGGTAGCCAGAAATGGTCTGCCCAAAATTATTGGAACTTCTTGATCTGCTTCAAAATCTAAGATGATGAAGTCAGCTGGTAGAATGAACTTGTCTACTTGGACAAGGACATTCTCAATTTTTCCTTCTGGCTTGGCTATAGATCGGTCTGCAAGTTGAAGAGTGACTGTGGTTGGTCTTGCTGCTCCTATGTCAAGCTGCTTGAAGATGGAAGCTGGCATTAGATTTACACTTGAGCCCAGATCACAAAGTGCCCGACCAAGATAGTTCTTCCCAACTGTACACGGGATGGTGAATATACCAGGATCCTTTAGTTTGGGAGGAATTTTAGTCAGGTACTTGCACGATTGTTGAGTGAGGGCTACGGTCTCAAACTCTTCGATCTTTCTTCTTTTTGACAAAATGTCCTTCATGAATTTTGCATATGAAGGCATTTGCTCCAGAGCTTCTACTAGAGGGATATTTATGTGAAGTTGTTTCATCAAGTCAAGAAACTGGCTAAACTGTTTATCCTCGTGTTGCTTTTTCAACCTCTGTGGAAAAGGAGGCTCGATCGGTTCACTCCTTCTCTTGCATGGGGGAACATAAGTTGGAACTGAAACTGGTTCACTGACTTTTGTTGCTCCAAGTTCTGCTACAGGTGTTGCGTCATCCGGTTTGATTTCAGCAGACTCATTGCTTTGGACCTTCTCTTCTGGTCCTGTCTGAGCTTCAAGGTGTGAAGGGTCAGTGGCTTCTTCAACTTCCTTTCCTATGGGCTGTTTTGCTGGTTCGCGCTTTCGAGGTCGTGCCACTAAGTCTGGGGGTGGTAAGGTTTTTCCATCTCGCAGGCTTATAGCATTACAATGCTCCTGGTTATCTTGAGACGGCTTTTCTGTATCACTAGGGAGTGTCCCTGGTTGCCTCTGTTTGAGTGCTCCAGCCAGCTGACCAATTTGGGTTTCTAGGTTTCGCATGGCTGCGCTGTTCTGATTCATGTACTCCTTGACAGAAGTCTCAAAGGATTGGGACTTCCCTTCACCCTTATCCCAGTTTTGTTGGTTCTGCCTGGGATACGGGGGTCGGTTCTGGTAGTTTCCTCCACTACCTCCAGCATTATTCTGATTCCTCCAGCCTCGGTTATTGTTCCCTTGATGGTTGTCATTGCTCCTGTTGTTGTTGTCATACCCTCCTGCATAGCACACAGCAGCTAGATTGTTACAGTCCTCATATTCATGAGGACCTCCACAAGTGGGGCAACTCTGACTTGATTGAGTCAAAAGAAGTTGCTCAGTTGTTTTTTTCTGTTCCATGGGCTTCCAGTTTTTTATAGTGTTCTGGAGCGAAGCCATTTGTGCAGAAAGAGCATCAGCTGAGCTTAGCTCAAGAACTCCTGCTTTCTTAGGAGCACTGTGTCGTGTGGAAGGCCATGAAATATGTTTTTTTGAAAGTTTTTCCAACAACTGGTAGGTTTCTGGATAAGTAAAATCCAAAAGATCTCCCCCTGCGGCTGCATCAACAGTTGCTTTCAATGGTGGGGTTAAACCATGATAAAACGTGTGAATGATGCCCCAATCAGAAACTCCATGATTCGGGCAGATTCGTATCAACTCTTTAAAGCGTTCCCACGCTTCATACAGACTTTCTCCATCATACATTTGAAAAGAAGCTATATCAGCCCTCACTTGGGCTTGTTTTGCTTGGGAAAAAAATCGGGTAACAAACTGTTCCGCCAATTGCTCCCAACTGGTGATGGAGTTTGGGGGCAATGTTCTCCTCCATTCTTTGGCTTTTCCAGCTAAGGAAAATGGAAAAAGCCGCACGCATGTTTTCTTCCGAAATACCATGAACTTTGAAATTGTCAACTATCTCAGTGAAATTGTCCAAATGACTGTGAGGGTCTTCCATGGGTAGTCCATGGAACTGACCAGCGTTCATAATCATTTGGAACATTGCAGGTTTTATTTCAAAGTTCGGGATATTCAGAGGAGGGGGAACATATCCTCGTTCTGGACCATTTCTGAAGGGAGCAGCCATATCATTCAATGATGGCCCTCTTCCTCCATTCGGTCCTTGTTCAGGCTCATGATTATGATTTCCATTGTTATCATTGTTTACAACCTCCTCCATTGTACTGTTTTTCAACCTTTGAACTCTTCTTCTATTTCTGAAGGTTCTCTCGGGTTCTGGATCAAAAAGTACTATTTCCAGTCCAAGTTCTGTAGGTTCTGTGCTCATACAAATGGAGGAGGTTTATTAAAACAAAAAGACTGCGATTAAACAGCAAAAATGTTTCCTTAAAAACGCCCTTTCTTGCCAAATGATCCCCGGCAACGGCGCCAATTGCTTGGTCGAACCGAGAGTTGCTCGGGAATATTTCTTTCAGAGAGCAAGAGTGTAGAGTAGTAATCAGGATTGCCAACAGGAGCAATCTACTCTGACTAAGAGCAACCCTCTTCAACTATACGCAAGCGTACGTGTCAAGCAATATAGGGTATTATAGCCCCAGATTTATCGTCCTCAGGGAGCAGTTGTGAAGTAAGAAGCGCTAAAGGAAACTTAATTTGTAAAATGGAGCAATAAAAGAAATCACTATTCTCAGCTAAGCTTCACAAAGAGCAATCTCTGGGCAGCTAGTTAAACAATGTTAACCATTCTGAACCAGATGAGAGCAGTGAATGACTTAGCATGGTCATCGAATAAAATGGCATCAATTGAAGTAACTTTAAGAGCAGTCAACGAAATGAAAGTAAGAGCATCAGCTAGTAAAACACAGTTCAGTTATCGTGAGGAAAAGGTTGTGATAGGAATTGAGTTAAGATTAATTTCAGAAAGAAAAAGATCAAGTAGGTGTTACGGGTTCCATGTTTTCATCCCTTTGGTTAACCCTGCCTGGTAGCATATTTTACAAGTGGATTTTGCTCCTTCCCTTGTTTTGCTATAGGTAAGCAGAGGGTAAGGCCTTACTCTCCACGTTACTCCATAGTACTTGGAGTTATATGCAAGGAAACCATGCTGCCTTCTCAAAAGAGCATGGATTCACATGGCAGTGCTCCCCATTCCAGGTGTTTATCCCTCCTTTCTTCAGGCTAAACTACCCCAGGATTTTGAGAATGCTCCACACGCCTTTGTCAGTGTTTCATCAACCGAGTGGTCCCGGGATGAGGTTGCCAGCCCAAAGGGTTTCACAAAATCAATAAATTAAACCAAAGAGCAACTCAAAATTCATTTATAAAATATGTGTTCCTTACAAAGCTATCCTAAGACAAAAGGGATTACTTCTATGGAACCCTCACCTACTTAGAGGAAGTTAGCTCCTAGTGAGCATTTTTACAAAGAAATAAGAAAACAAAGAGACAACCAGTCCTAGGATGGGTGCTGATCCTTTCCTTTATGAGGATTGCTTGTTCCTTTTATAGGGTTCTTCATTTGATCTCCATTGTTCCTTTCATCAAGGGTCATGCTTTGTCTAAATCCTCTCCAATGGTAGCTTTGCTTCTTGCCAGCTTGGCCTTAAATGGAAGTGGTCCCCCTTGCTTTTGGCTCCCTTTGTGAGTAGGAGTATCGGATTCAGGGCAGCACTTCCACCTTCTCTGTTGTAGCTGACGTGGCGGCTCCCCATTGCTCAGCTTCTTTGCTTTCGTACTGTAGCAGAGGCAGCACCTCCACCTTCTCTGCTGTAGCTGACGTGGCGGCTCCCCATTGCTTCCTTTGACTGCTGTTGTACTATAGCAGACTTCTTTTTCCTTTCTGCGCAACACTCATTCTTCTCTCTTCATTTTGTGGTTCCTTTTGATGGGCCTTAGGTGTCCTGAACAAAGCAAACTAACCCAATAGTCATATGTGAAAAAGATAATGTTAAATTTGCTCCAGGTCTACCTTAATTCCCACTTTCGGCATTGCTCTGGTCCACTATTCAAAACAGTTGCTCTATATGAAAAGAAGAAGGTTGAAGGGTGTGATTTATAACCAAAACATGGGTTTTGTGGAACAATTTACACTTAATGGGCCTCAACTCTTGAGGACTATCAAAAATGTACAGAGGCATTAAATGAGTGAAGCAGGTGCATTAAATGCTTCTCAATTCGTTCCCCTTTTAATATATTTTAAGGAATACGTCAACATACGTTCCCCCACTGTGTTTTTGTCACAAATGTGTAAAACAAGTGATTTTCATGCTGAAGTTGTGCATCAGATGAGGGAACGTGCGGTATTTTTCCATCAAAATGGGCCTATGTGGGAACGAATTTGCGTCCCATCAATCGTCAATGAAGACGATCACAAACTAATCAGGGTACGGCTGGAAAATCTTGTTCATGTAATCCATGAACACTACGGGTGCATTGGTGAGTCCAAAAGGAATCACCAAATACTCATAGTGACCGTATCTCGAACGAAATGCGGTCTTCGGGACATCCTACGGCTTCACCCGAATCTGATGGTATCCGGACCGGTGATCTATCTTTGAGTACACACAAGCACCCTTCAGCTAATCTAACAGATCATCGATACGAGGAAGGGGATACTTGTTCTTGATTGTCACCTTGTTCAACTGCCTGTAGTCGGTGCACAATCGCATAGTCCCATCTTTCTTTTTTACAAAGATGACCGGTGCTCCCCATGGAGACACACTCGATCGAATGAAGTCTTTCGCCGAAAGATCTTCAATATGCTTCTTCAGCTCAGCCAACTCTAGTGGCGACATCCGATATGGAGCTAATGAAATAGGCCCCACACCAGGAAATAAATCAATGGAGAACTCTATCTCCCGCTGTGGCGGAAACTCAGGAATCTCCTCGAGAAACAATTCGAGGAATTCCCTCACCACAAGAATGCCAACAATATCCTCCTGTGATCCACTCACCAAACCTCCCAACATGACATATCCAAATGCCCCTGCCCTCAAGGCTATCCTAGCCTGCAGCAATGAAATAAAAGGCGAGGAACTGACTGTGGAATCACCCGGAGACATCACAACTCGCTT